CTCGTGAGCATGCACTTCAACTCGTAAGAGGTACGGCCGAAGAAAGCTTCACTAAGCTCCCATCATACTTTAATATGGTGTCTCTTACTAATCACGACAGCATCACCAATATTCATTTTGATGAACAGAACCGTTTTATCTATCTTTTCCTAGCATATAGACCTTGTGTACGAGGTTTTGGTTGCATGAGGAAAGTTATCAGTGTTGATGGAACGTGGTTGAAGGGAAAATTCAGAGGTACGTTGTTAGTTGCCCCTGCACAGGATAGTGAACGTCATTGTTATCCCATCACATGGGCCATTGTAGACTCAGAGAATGATGCATCCTGGACATGGTTCTTCTCGAACTTGAAGGTGATTATCACTGATTCTGAGGAATTAGTTTTGATTCTGATAGGAATCAAAGTATAAGTAATGCATTGTCTACAGTTTATTCATTAGCACATCACGGTTGTTGCACATGGCATGTGTCTCAAAACATCAAGAGTAATTTCAGATGTAGCGGTGTTCTGCCATTGTTCTTTAAAACCGCTGAGGCCTACCGCATTGACGAGTTTTCTGTCTTTTCTGATGAGTTGACTGCAAGATATCACAGTATTGCTAGATACCTACAGGAGCAAGTTCGTTTTGAAATGTGGTCTCGTGCTCATTTTAAAGGAAATCGATATAATATTATGACCACAAACATGTCTGAGTCAGTTAATGCAATGCTCAAAGATGTTCGAGATTACCCTGTCATTGCCCTCTTTCATTTTATACAAGCGAAGATGTTAGAGTGGTTTAATAACAGGCGGGTCGAAGCTTCTAAAACTAAAACATTATTAACGCCAAGTGAGGAAAAAACTCTTCGTAAGAGGCACAGCAACAACAAAGCGGGATTTCTAACGTCCACAAGACTTAATACTGTTGCGTTCCAAGTAACAGGTGGAGAGGCCACTGCAATTGTCAACATTGGAGCGAGGAGTTGCACTTGCCGTGTGTTCGAACTTGAGCAGATACCATGCGAGCATGTAATATCATGTTGTAGAGAAGCATGAATATCTCT